TAGCAGAGGTGCTCCATCCTTCTAATCATCTTGAGGTCTCTTACAACCTAGGAAATTCTATGATTCCGCAAAGTAAATTAAACACTAAAATGTAGATTATATGCTTCTAGAGAAACTTTAATTCCTACAATGAATATACGTATAAATTAGATCCAAAGATGACCTCATTATGGATGTAAAAGACAACGATGACAGTTTGATACTGCTAGTATCCAATTGCTGCTATTATAACCATTCTGACTAGTTATTATACATTTTTTCATCCCTCAGAGAAAATATTGACTATTTATGGGAAAGCTGTCTAAAGTATTTTTTTTTCATTTTGGTAAGAAAAACATTGATGAAAAAGAAAAGGCAGCAAGAATTCAAGTATCCTAGATTCTATTATAGTTGCTGTCTTATTCCTTCTCACAGCCTGGTCATTTGCCTGAAACGGAAAGATATAAAACAAAAATACAGCTGGGAGAGTGTTAGCATATTATGATAATGGTCTTAAATTTGGTTTAGGAAGTGTATAATCTTCTGTGGCTGATGGTTTGTAGGAGTTAAGGGAGAGATCAGAATAAATATTCTTGTGGGTCTCTTGACTTAACATCTGTTACTTCAGGCTTTGGGAAAGTAGATTCCAAGATCCAGCAGTGCTTCAGTACATTAATATGCATTAATGTATAGCAAGATTTTGGCAGTGTTAGAGTATATAAACAGCTTAATCTTCTTTTAGCTTAGAAGAAAAAATATGCGAGAAATATAGACCCATGCTGGCATGAGAGTATTGCTTAAATAATTGTAGAAGATATTACATGTGAAATGAAATTTGTACATGGCTATAAAACATATGATGGCAAGCAAACAGCTGGAATTTATGTAGATTCGTCTATGTAAAGGTATGAATATGCAGTGTTTTATAAGACTCCAAAACCAAGTGTATGCACAGATGTCAGAAGAAAATTTTCAACCTACTTATCAGATCGAAAGGGTTCCTAGATAATTTAGGAAGCTTAAACTAACTTTATGGCTTATGGAACAATTAATATTCCCCACATGCACAAATTTTAAATCAAAATACTGGAATACACATAAAGAAAACTTCAAATTAAGTGGAGCTGTGGTGGTAAATGCACATCGCTAACTTAAGGAAAACATCTCAAAGAGAGTATTATGTTTAAAGAAATTTTCAATCCATCATACAGTCCAGATTTAGGTCATTTGGTAGTACAGAGTCAGACTGCTTTGCCTTTCTTCTTGTGGCTTCATCCACTGCCTACCTAAATTAATAATTCCATATTTGAACTCAGCTATCAGGTCTTGTAGGTGAAGCTAACATTGCCTGCTTTGATCTGAAGATCTGTAACTGGCCTGGTGGTCCTGGCCTAACTGCCACAGTGAAGATCCGCAGAGATGCAGTTTTCTTGTTCCTGGTAAGGAACTGTCTGCACAATGATTTCCCTTAAAGGAGAGGGGAACTTAACATTTCTAGACAACCCTCAGAAAATGCAACCAACTAAACACTAAAAACAAATTTCTTCCCTAAACCCCTAGACAAACAAGAGTGCCTCATTTTCCTGCAAGTCAGGAGAAAAAAGGAAGGATTGATGGAACTGTATTAAAGTGTATTAATGTTCCAGTCAGTGCTCCCTTGGAGTGAATATTAGAGAAGAGCTTTGATTATGGTTGGAAAACTTTTGTCAGCGCATGCTGTCTTTTTGATTCATAATTTTATTTAAAATGCTAAAGATATAGCAACAGTGTACAACAATCTTTTCTAATGTCATTCTTCTCTTTTCGACACTTGATATCTGTGTGTGGATTTACATCATCTTTTTCATTTGCTCTCACAGCTTTCTTTCTGGCTTTTCATGCTGTCTTTGTTTAATGGGAAAAGAAACAGACTGCTAACAGGTCTATCTACATCATACCTGAAGTATTTGTGTAAGGTCTGTAGTGAATGATTCTAGAAATAGTATTGTCAATTATTTCCCTGCTATGATACCTCTTTTCTGTGGAGTATTTACAGGACATTGGACACTTCATGAACAATCCATACGACCAGCTCTGAGGAGCAGTAGGCCTCACTTGACATAACTTTGGAGGTTATTAAAAGAGTGATTTATAGTTGCAAGTTGTGTGAAACTGTGTGTTTACAGTTGCAAGTTATGGGAAAACTGTGTGTATGTGACCAATAAAGAGAAAACTGGAAAGTCCCCTGGAAAGTCCCTAAGGCGGATCGGTAGGAGGGACTTTGGGCGGCACAAATGATGTCAGAATGCGTGGACAGGGCATCGGGACCAATGAACTAAAGGCATGAAGCGCGTGCACGGACTGAACTATCCAATCGCTTTGTTGTACTCACGTACCCGGAAGGAGCTGACTGTATAAAAGCTAAGCCGTTTAAATAATAAACTGAACATCGTTTGATCATATTAATCGTCTGTGCGTTGTTTCTGAACTCCTGCCACTGCACTTTCCTACATTTTTCTGTGGCTCATCAAAGGAACATTTTAAGTAAGATTACAACAAGGCAACATTTATTGCAGTGATAATTCGAGGGAAAGTTGGAATGTTAACAAACATTAAACAAATGTTTCATTTTCAATTTTGTAAATATTTCCATCTCATCACAGGAAGAAGAGCTTGGAAATAATTTTTAAAATAATTTTTTAAATTGTTATTTTGATATCTTTTAAGTGAAATACTATTATTGTGTTTAGCAATAATGACAATTAAATATTTTTTTAATTGGTTTAGGTTTATTTTCAAAATTATAAATATTATTTGATATTAGGTTGAAACTTTTTGCAAAGAGTTCCAGTTAAAAGGGTCTTTCTTTGACTCAGGGAAAATATTTATGTGGTTTATGTATTTCAAACAGGCTTCCTTTCTAATTCAAACATGAGCCAAACCACTGATTTTCCAAATATAGCTCTATAAAAAAAAAATAAATTGTAACTGAAGTTATGCTTCAGCATATTATGAGAGCACAATTTTATTAAGACAGAAGAAGTAAACGTGATACATTTGGAATGTGCTTACAGTGTAACTTCTCTGTCCTCCATGTTTCACTGCTTTCTCCATATGACCTCAAAGGGAAAAGCCTACCTTGTCACCATTCTGATCAGTGGTTCCCCCCAAATGGAAGTAAAGAAATGTTAGATGTGTCATCATATAAACTGTTGGTTACATGTTTTAGTGCTTCGTGTTTTAAAGTCTTTTAATAAATCCCTGGAGTATTGGCTCTTTGGTGGTCCATTCCATGCTGAGGATGTTTAAGTCTGTTGATTTCAATATATGGTTATGCTTCAGCTGCAGTTCAGTGAGCAGCTGAGACCATCTCCTATACTTCTGTCTGTGAGATGAGTCCTAATGCCTTAAGTTTGAGAATACTTTACCTTCTCAGTAAAATAGATACCCTGTTTATACCCCACCTACCTTGAACTGGGCAGGAAAATAGATTGCGTTTACTGGTGACAGGCTGAGTGTACTGGTCAGTGACTGTGCTGCTTGGACAGGAAGCCTATAGGACCTTCCCTCGACTCCTTGGCACCCAAGCTATTTAGTGAATGCACAAACTAAGATCTAAACATCACTCAAATATTTACTTTCTACTCAAGTTAATTTCAAGTTGACCTCTGTATTCACAGAGCTATTAGAAAACACTGGCAGGCACAGGGCAACTCTATTGTAGAAGCTTTTTTGCATAAGGAAGTAAGCTAAAACTTGATCATTTGGCACATCCTTAAAGCTTCTGTTGTTGATATTCAGGTAGTACCTAACATTTGCTGTCTGTCCATGGTAATACTCTAATACATTTACGGTAATTCAAAGAGTGGAGTCTATAATAACATGATACCTGTGAAAGCACACTTTTAAACTTGGCTGGATTTGGCTTTTTCAAAACATGGAGTTTCTGGTATTTATTCCTTTAGATATTTTTTAAAAAATACTACTGTTAGCAGTACTGTTGCCAGTGAATGATTTGCAGTGAAATCAGCTGCAGAGCATGGTATTCCACTTTATACCATGTGCCTACTTTATCTTAAGTTTGAAACACATTGGTTTTATAATGTTGGGTTGGTTGATTGGATTTTTTTTTTCCTTTTTTTTGAATTGGGTAAGTTTAGTTATTGCAAAAGCAAGACTATTTGTAACGGTTTGGGCCAAATATAGTGCAGTCAGATGCTATGGAAGTTTACCGTAAGAGCCTTGACAACCTCTTAATCTTGATATGTAGCACACCATCTATTCTAGTCATGGTCATTTAGAAAACATATAATGCATGTCATGCTAAATTGCACACTAGATGTTTGTTTAGTATGGATGCAATTACACCATAAACTGAATTGCAATTAAAACTGAAAAATAGACCTGCAGCAATATTTTCAAAGTTTATAGGTCTTTATGCTAAACCACATTTTAGATTTTCCCAAACAACTTATAGTCATCTTACTGCCTGTTAACACTCCCCTCTTGATGAGGTAAGGGAAAATGGGCCGCAGGGGCCAGGGATTTACATTCTGATTTGACAAGCTTTAAGTTTTAAGCTTATGTCTGGTTCCAAGTAGGGATGCAGGACATGCTGCAGTATTAAGGGCAGGTTTTAGTTTGCTGTGCCTGGAGATTCATTCCTCCTGCTCTGTGAATTGTTTTGATACCTGTCTCATACTTGAAATTCTTCCGTCCTTGCAGTTTCAAAACTTCCACTGACCAATCTCAGTATTGATTACTCATTAACTGTAACAATCCTTCTTGATTGTTTGATATCTTTAATCTTTTTGTCCATCTCCATAATTAATCAATATTTATATTGTCATGGACACAATAGATCCTCATCCAGGGTCATGCATCTGCAAATTCACAGAGTATGTTTGTAAGACAGACTGGTATAGAAACAGCTTAACACTTTCCCAGATAGAAGAGGAAAGCATTTCAACATATTGTAAATACAAAGACATGTATGACGGAGTTACCTGTTACCTGTCATTGCATTTTCTTTCTACCAACAGGTCCCATAAGCAGCATTTTGGTGAATAAGTATGGTAGCCGGCCTGTGATGATAGCAGGTGGTATCCTGTGTTCATTTGGAATGATTGCAAGCTCTTTCTGCAATAGCGTCCTTGAACTATATATATGTATTGGTGTGGTTGGAGGTAAGAGTCCTGTTTAAAAGGTTATATTATATGTTGTTATATTACATTACATATATTACTATATAAAATTATTTCTAATAATGTTCTGCCAATGAGCCTTACTGATCAAGAATCCTCTGCGTACAGAGGTAATCCAAGAAGGTAGCAAGATCAAGATCAGTTAATTTCAGCTACCTGAACTATCTAATCTTTTAAATTAGCTGGTAGGCTGTTAAATTATTTCTTTTGATAATTCAGAAACAACTCATGAATTTATTCAGTCAATGATGTATGTATGGACTGTTCCACACTGCACTATAATAATGGTATAAAAATTGATTGGCTTGTGACAACACTTATTGCAGTCATTTGTGTACAATTTCACATTCATTCTTCTAGCTTTCTATCATGTTGCACTGCAACCAGGTTGAGAGATGCTAGTAGAATTTTAGTAAAATTGTGAAAGCTTGTACCACTTTTCTTTAGGTTTGTACATACATATAGTCTTTCAGAAAAGTATACACTTTCAGTGCAATACTTCTCTGTTTAAAATCCGCCCAGTGTCAATAATGAAATTAATCATAATCATCTATCTGAGGCCTAGATATTGCCTAAAGCAATGAACTAAAGTTATCGCGATGTCAGTGAATTAAATAACCTCCTTTTCAAAAGTTGTGGGGTTTTTTTAAATTCCCTTCTCAGAATAAGGAAGGCAAGGTGAAATATCAACAGGTAATAAATGAATGTATATTACATAAGAATATGTATTATTATAAATTGTATATTCAAGCTCATCTTTCTTTATGTTGGGACTAGAGGAGTCCTTCTTTATTTAGTGATTAATTCTTAAATTTCTTATTTTTGATATCCTAAACTCAGGGCCACTGAAAGAATAAAGTCAGAGTCCAGGAATGGGCCATCAGAGAAGAAAACTTCAGTGCCATCAAGCAGATGCAAAGCTACTTATATCTTATTGCCCAGATGTCTTTATAGAGAGAGAAGACCTAGAGGTTCAGCTTAGGGTTCAGCTTATACATTCAACTGATGTGGATGGGTGATCTGATCCGATGTGTGTCCTCTGTAACTCTTCCACTATTAGTGATGACATGGGGAACGGGAGCTGAATATGCTCTACAATAATTTGCTATTTTAAGCTCCAGTTTAGTAGACAACTTGGATCTTAATTAGGGTTGGAAATAAAAAAATAGGAGATTTATGCATTTAAATACACCCTGCATTCATTATAGCTAAGGCGACATTTAATAACTTTGGTAAAATGAGCCAAGAGAGAATTGCATTATAGCTTAGCAAATATAAAAGTGATGAGTCAAGGCATTGATAACCATAATTCCTCTCAATTGCCCTGACTCTATCATTGCTAAAACACATCAAGGAATTTTGGCTTTTAATGCAATACTACAGGGGGAATGGACCAAATGCCACCATGACACAGTCTTGACATTAACACACGTAGACGGCAATGAAGCTGTATTTCATCCTCTGATGCTAGTTGGTTTTTATCTTTATTGAGAATCACTGGATTAGATAGTGGTCATCTTAAAAATAACTTGAAAGAGGTGCAATATGTTTTTCAATGCATGACCTGCAATAATGTTGTCTTTTATGTGTCGTTTAGGTCTGGGTTTAGCATTCAACTTACAGCCTGCCTTAACCATGATTGGCAAGTATTTCTATAAGAAGCGTCCCATTGCTAATGGATTGGCCATGGCTGGAAGTCCAGTGTTTCTGAGCACATTGGCACCTCTCAATCAATTCCTCTTTAATGCTTTTGGCTGGAAAGGAAGCTTTCTTATTCTGGGAGGACTTCTTTTGAACTGCTGTGTGGCTGGGTCACTTATGAGACCTGTTGGACCGAAAAAAGTCCCGACTGTGAAAAAAGATGTTGAAAAAGGCACAGGAGATTCTACCTTGCACAAAAACAACAAGAAGTCTTGTTGGCAAACTATGAATAAGTATCTAGATCTGTCCCTCTTCAAACACAGAGGGTTTCTGATCTATTTGTCAGGAAATGTCATTATGTTTATTGGTTTCTTTGCTCCAATAGTGTTCTTGGCTCCTTATGCTAAGCACAAGGGAATTGATGAATATTCTGCTGCTTTTTTGCTATCTATCTTAGCCTTTGTAGACATGTTTGCTAGGCCTTCAATGGGACTCGTGGCAAACTCCAGGTTTATCCGGCCAAAGATTCAGTATTTTTTTAGTTTTGCTGTCTTGTACAATGGGGTCTGTCATATCTTGTGCCCTCTGGCAAAAAATTACACTGGCTTGGTGATATATGCTGTATTTTTTGGGTTTGCATTTGGAATGGTTAGCAGCGTTCTTTTTGAGACATTGATGGACCTCGTTGGGGCTGCCAGATTTTCCAGTGCGGTTGGACTTGTCACCATTGTGGAATGTTGTCCTGTGCTCATAGGCCCTCCTCTAGGAGGTAAGAATCTATTTCTTTCCATTTTTTCAGACATTACAGTGTAATCGTGCAATTTAACATTGAATAAATATAAACGTTGTTCTTAATGTTATTTAATGTTTTTGCTATGACTAGAAGTGTACTGTAGCAGCAGTGTCTTTGGGCTTTGCAGCTGCGGGTTCACATGAGAATCTAAAGGCATTTATTGCGTGCATTTGCAAACAATAGATTAAGACTGTATCTCTACTGGCCCATAAATCCATGTGGTAAATGTATGTTTTCCTGATAGCACATAGGGCTAGTTTTGCAACCTTGAGTTACATATATTCATCTCAAATTTGCTCTTTGACAATGAAGTTCTTACTCTCTTGAATTGATTGAGTCCGTTTTTGTGAAGATCTCACAGAGTGGTTTATAAATTCTCCAGCCTAGTGACAGTTCAAGGAGCAATCTCTTACACTCGCTTAAACAATTTTAGTTTGTCTACACAGAGAGGATTGACATTTCCAGAGAGAAAAAAATAGCAGGGGGGTGTCAAAAGAACAGGGGCACCCACAGTAGCCTAGGCAGGGTGCATGCATGGTGGGATTCCATTATGGTGCCGTGAAGCGTTGCGCCCTAGGATGATTACACACCACAACTCTGCTCACATTCAGTTCTTTCACATGTTTCTATAGCCAGTGGATAAGGCAATTCAGAATGTGAACTGACTGAAAGATGGCAATGTTACCAACTTCTCTGTTTCAAGTGTAAGGGGAGCTTAAAGAGAGCCTAGGTGTATAGCTTAGACTACATTCATAGCTTCTTGGCTTCTTGCAGCAAAAATGATGAAATCTTATGTAAAATATTTTCTATTTACTAGCTTTTTAGTCAGTATTTAGTAATGCTGATAGTAAGCTTTATAATTTTAAGATCTCTGATGATATAAGAAACTAAAAAAAATAGACGCTCAAATCTTGTTGAGAAGCATTGGTGTGTATCTTGGTGTGTGTGTTGCAGTGCAAACCTAACAATATGAGAATACAAAGATAGTGAGATTGCCAACTTTTTGAACATATACTGTACCCACATAAACACTGCCTCAGAAGTCAGCAAGATTATGTGTGCCTAAAACCATTTCTGCATATCAAAGTGTTTTAGATTAGTGTCAGTATTTCTGTGAAAATAGCATTGTTGTGTGCAACTGTAAATATGCCAAAACAATTCCACTCGTTTCAGTAAAATAATATTTGTACAAGTAAATTTTTAATACTTCTCAAGGCATTCCATATTTTTATCATCATTTAGCATACAAGTTCATTTTGATAAAAGTTGAACAAAATACATTTTTCTCACACAGACTCTTCCTATGCCACCTAGTGGGGGGTCTGAGCCTGTGACCTCTGGAGTGCAGTCTTTTCAGTCAGGTTCTGAAATCAGTGTTAACTCTAAAGATATTAAATCTAATATTTATGGAGCAATAGCTTACATAATTATTTATTTTTCAGTATATTAGCTTTTCAAGAGTTTTGAAAAACATTTGATTGTGCTATAGTTGTATGAATAATTGATTTAACTTATTAAATAGAGACAACAAAAGGAATGAACACATGGAAAGGCTAAGTTCCAGTTTTGACTAGTTCATATCCTTTAAAATATTATGCAGAAGTAATGCTAATTCAGAATTTAATTTTTAAATATCAGTTTTATGAGACTGTTCACAGTAAAAATCAGCAAATTGCACTATTTACACTAATAAGTGAATTGTACACTTGCAGTGCTATTTTGAGTTTTTCCTAATACTAGGTTTGTGGGGAAAAAAAAAGTTTAGAATAATTTAATGGCTTCTAAATGTGTATCCAGTGAATAGACTAGCATTATGTCTTCAACACAGTAAAAGCATCTAAATACATACTAAATTGAAGTGTGAAGTTATCCTGAGAATTTCATTTATAGTGTAGCAGAGTTCAGAGCTAAATACTTGGGTGTGTATAAATGTTGATTTGGGAATTGTGAAAATTTAGAAGGAATGGCTGATAAATGGAAAGAACTGTTATAATTTATTTTTCTTGCCATGACCAAGTTAATCACAGAGGTGTGGACGTAATTTTTACATACAGGCCTCATAGTTTAAAACTTATCAGTTAAGCATGATGGCTGAAGGAAGAAGTCTTTCTCTCTCTTTCAGCAGTCACAGGAAAGTAAAGTTGAAAAGCAGGCATTTGACGCACAGTCAGCAGCCTAAAAAGGCCCATACCTCTTCATCCTATTGTGTGTATACAGCCTCAGTGAGTACCAGGCATTCCAAAACAATAATAAACACAATTAGAACATGAATAAAATGAAAGACTGAAAATAAAAGAGCTAAAAAACTGTCTGTCATTATTCATTAAGCTTTACTTACATGTTTCTTCTATATTCTATAATTGTCAGTGACTCCAATGACAATTGCTAGCTTCACTAATACAGGTTTTGTTATAGTTCCACTGTCTATGTTAGAAAATTTTAACATGTTGAAAATGCTTTTCTGCTCCTACTTCAAAACCAAGGAATATATAGATATTTCTCCAAGAGAAGGATGTGGATTGTATTTGGCATTCTAGTCTAAATACTCTTTTTTGTCTTTGTATTTCAGGTTGGTTAGTAGATGTTACTGGTGAATATCAGTACATGTATTTTGTCTGCGGAGTGATTGTGACTGTGGCCAGTATCTGGTTGTTCATTGGCAATGCCATCAACTACAGGCTTTTGGCAAAAGAAAAGAAACTAGAAGATGAGAAGCAAAAAGCTCAGAAGAATGCTGACTCAAAGGAAGTGGAACCATTAACAAATAACGAGAATGAAGATGCTTCCAGCAGAGCTGATAAAGCTCTTGAAGATCCCTCAGAAAGAGAAACCAATATTTAATCTGCATTATAGCTCAGAAGGCAATATTTATGACTTCCATTAGGAATCAAGACACAGGCCGAGTTTTGTGGTAATAATGATCAGTCACAATATTGGATGGGAACAGATTTTTGCCCTATGGCAAAACTCTAAGTTAAATTTCTATCTACAGTTTATTTATTTCAGCGATACAAAATTAAGATTACAGAGGTAGTGATTCCATGCAAAGGAATCCATCAGACTTTGACTCTGGACAGTCAAGAGTCAGGTAAACCAGACTATAAAGCCTTCCAATGACAAACATTTTTGTTTCAAAAGTATATCTACTACAAAAGTATCTTCTACTCTTATTTGGGAAGATACTTGCATTCACCCTTAAAGTATGGTTAAAGTCAGTTGAAATAATCTGCCCAAACTCTACTTACCACTAATATTAAAGAGAATATAAGTTCAAAGATTTGTTTCAAAAGAGGCAGAGTACCTGACTGAAAGCACACAGAAACTCTTTTTGTGTTTTATATTCCCCCTAGATAAAAAATACATGTCTGTATAAACAATTATATTATGGATGTAAAAGTTAGGGGTAGAAGATGAACAACTAGTGGGCACCATCTCTAAAATACAATAAACAGCTGATTTATAATATATTCCAGAAGTAGTTTCTTCCTGTGATAGCTGACTACATCGTACTTCAACATACGCATTTGAACACAAAGTACATTCAGATCTCACTAATTCAAACTAAGCTGAAATCTGCCTGTACATAAAATATTTAAACCCAAGATTTGCATTGCTAACAAGTGTGTCAATTTGTTTGTTTGATTATGCATTCCTATGTGGCTGAATGATCTGGATCAGACTGTGAAGCCTTTTTCCTAAAGGGACTAGATTCAGAATCTGCTCAAGTTAAAACAATACTAACCCTTGGCTTTTGTGGCCCAAATCAGTTTTGTTGCAATGACTTCAAAGTAATGCTTGGCTTTATTGGCAAGTCACTAGTTATTTGATGGTTTCCTGAGAGGAGATTTAAGGTCTAACTTCAGGTCTTTGCAGATAGGTGTCTTCATACCAGTTCTCACTTCCCTTTCGCATGAATTTAGTGAAAAACTGCTGCTTTTTTTTTTGTAATGCTGCTTTGAGCAAAAATGCTGCAAGGCACCTTGACAATGCCAGTCTAGAAGCTTTGTGCGGGAAGCTTTGTCTGGAAGCTTTGACATATCAGTTTTGTGCAGAATATTTAGTCTTGTGTGTACAATTTCACACAGACACTCACATAAATTAAAATGTACACAATTGTCCTCCTCGTTTAGACAAAAGAAAGCATAAGTCTACAGTTTTACCTTACAGAAATCATTTAGCATTGCATTTGAAAGCTAAAAGTGCAAGCTACTGAAGGTAATAAATGAAAATATTTCTGTTGTATTTCTAAGTAAGGAAAGGTGCTATTCGTTTTGGAGAGATGCATATAAATGCCTCAGAAATTGTGAAAATTAAGGATCTGATTCATAAAACATTTATGCACTGTTTATGCAGGATAAACCTACATTCAATTCCAGGAAAAGAATGTCATTCCTTTTAACCCTCTTCTAAATCTGAAAAAGTTGGAAATATAGTGCACAGCTGTGGTAAACACACTTTAAAGTGCCAATAACAAAAGAAAAAAATTGTTAGTAAAATTTAGCACAGTGCTTTTAGGATGTTATTTCTTAATATTATTAATATTATTATGTTCAATATGATTATTTTAATTTTTCTTCTAAAAATTTTAGTTGTGCTTATTTCAGTTTTTCTGGGTTAGCCTCTCATATAGTATGATGTTCCACAGTAGTGCTGAACTTTTTAATTATCTCAGCACTGTTTTGGGGGAGAAGCATCATGAATCTACTCTCAGCATGGTACGGAAGTTAATACCTACTTTTTACCTAATTATATTCAGGAAAACAAGACATCTCCAATGAGTCCTGTAGTTTTACAGAAGCATCAGCAGTAAAATATATGCATTTCAGAGTTTTGGGAGAAAATATGTTTTGGATGTTCAGATTTGAGCAGTGTTCTGTGTAAACGAGAATGATTTAGTCCCAGTAAAATTATAGTTTTTCTCCCAGCCCCCAGCTTCAGAGAGGAAATAAATACATTGCATCTCCTAGCACCCCATGAGATAGAAGCATTGCTCTCTTTTTTGACTATACAAACATACTGAGTGCATTCCAGAACCTGTGGAGACCTTGTGTGCCCATAGCCAGAGGGTGATGAGGACTCTCATAGACACTAAGCTTTCATACAGTGAGGAATATCGGTTATAAATACTGGATTGCAAAAGAAGAACAGAAATTTTAGCTGAAGTGTAGTCATCAGGAACATCAGTCTGCTCTTACAGCAGCTGTAGAAAGGCAGAGATTATTTGAAAAGACATTAATATAGAGACTGAACAAAAATGTCTGAGGCAAAATTGTAGGTGCCTATTATCTCTTTGCAAAATACAGCATGATTAAGAATACAGGGTAGAAGACAAGTGTCAGTTTTTGACTGAAGGCTGTTAAGTGTTGCTGTTGCTGAGTAAAAATGATGATAAAAAAAGTCTCTCAGGAAATATGCAGGCAACTTGCTTGTTCTATGCAGGATCTCAGAATACAATACAAAATGGCATAGGAAATAAGGGAAAAACAAGGTTCCTTGAGCCACAGACACACCTGACCACTAGTAACAAAAATTATGTTACTATCTCGGAGGAAATAAAAATTTCTTTAAACCCTCTACAGAGATGCTGCTCTTTCATCTCTGGTAAAGTATGGTAAAAAGTAATAGGAATGAAATAGCTACTTTTCCACCACTCACCAATGTACAATTTTTAATCCTGTAAGGCTAAATGATGCAGCACACAACTGCATATAAAGTAGGAAGACATTTCCTTACACGTCTTTCATTAGTTTTCATCTTAATACTAGCAATAGAATAAAAACCATCAGCATACTCTTGATATTACTGAATATTAAAGAAGTTAAAATCCAGAGATTAATGAAGAAAATTGCAACCATATCTATGCAAAAACTGCCTTCAATTAAAAACCTGTGTCTTCCAAATAACAGGTCCTAATGGGGCAATTGCCTCATAGTAGAGGTAGGTGATATTTCTAAAAGTAATGATAATAATAAACTGTCTTGAATCAACGATATACTGAGCAACAAAGTAGCAAAATGAGTATAATTTGCCTTCAAACCCCTGAATATCACTCTTACTTGCACTGACCTGTAATTTGTACTGTAAATCATTTCATCATTACATTTCCACTTTTATAATTAGACCTGAGTATATACACCATCTCTCTAAATTCCTCTGGTTTCTTTTAATTAACTCACCCTCGGTCTGAACCACTGCAGGGTCAGGACTAAGAGATTCCCCTGCCCAGTGATAAAGAAATATACCACATGCATCTGTTACGCACTATAAAAATCTGTAGTCTCTGTCAATCAGTGCAAGCAAATCCTTAATTGGTCTTATTCTCATTTATACTCATGTATAGCTCATTCTTTTCTCTGCCACAGTATGACTAAGCCTAATTATCCTCTTACTCTTACTTGATCAATCCAGGTCAAATTTCAAGTTGTTTTAGTGAACACATCGAGATACTTTTTTTTCTTTAGGTTTTTTGATATAGAACTCTCTGCTAGCTGGAGGGTTCTGTATTGCCCTTTCCAACTCCAGAGAAAGACTTCTCACTATTAATTTTCTGTACTATTTCAGGAACATAAAAAAATTTCACCCCTCCCACCTTTTTGCATTGAACCGTGGTTGCAATTGTTGTCAGTTCTGTATTTCCATTCATGAGTTCAAAAAAGCATCTTTTTGTATGAAATCCTGTGCATAAGTAGTCAGACTACAATGCTTTTACATCAGGAGTGTGATTTGTGAACTGTTTTGACAGAGCTAGGGAAAATCTACTTCACCTTAAAACAGATTTTTTAAGGGATGCTATCTTTATGAGAGGAATTTCAACTTTTACTGCTGAAATAAATGGCAGGAATTTCAATGATATTGTGATTCAAAATTCGTGTGAATCTTAATGGTCACTTTGCATATCAGCATCTAGTATGCTTAAAAACATTTGTCAATATATACATGATTTTTCCTCTTCAAGAATTCTTGTTCCTCTTAAAAGTTTCCCACTTCCACTGCCCCATCGCATTTTTAATTTTGATGTAGCGCAAAGAATTTGGACCAGGAATGTAGTGACTTATCTTTAATGCTTTCTTGTAGTTGTTTTTCCTGAAACGCCACATTTGCCATGCTGCCAGATGCAATGTTTTTCACTTGCTACTTTCAGGTCAGGTTGTGGGTATTAGTGGAGAGGTATTACTGAGATACAGAATAAGCTACAGATACCACATAAAGCCAGATTTGGGGCAGCTATCAGGATTTCACTAAACAAAGCCAGTAACCACTTTTATAGATGAACATGCTGACGACACTGACAATTTTGCCTATAAAAAAACTGAATCAGGCAACTTTTGTTAGTTTCTCTACAGATGACTATTTTTCTACTCTCAGAGAGGAATATAAAGGGAATTTTAAAATAATTATTTTCAGAGATGGCATATCAGTTTTAACAAGGCTGTCTGGATTTTTCTTTGGGGGGTGCACTTCTGATATTTGTGCATATGTATACATTGAAAGTTCTTGCATGTACTATCACCTTTTTAATCACAATTTGCATAAGCATTGCTATGTGATTTCAACATAGTTTGCATGTTGTAGTTTTGCAGTTCAAATTTTTCTCATCATCTACCTCTTAGTTGAAGTTTGGAGACTTGCACAATCCTGGAAGAATAGAGTTGACAAAATGCACAATGATAAAACCTATTAGAAAGTCTCACAAATATTTGAAGCTGCTTACTGTTCTGTTTTTAAGGCAGTGCATATCTATGACCAAATTCTTTGAATTAATTGACATAGCTTTATTAAGCCTAAAGACTTTACCCATACTTATGAAGTTTTTGCATCACTGACCTGGTATAAAAATTCGAAGCGTGATTTAGATATCCGGAGTCTACTGACCTTTCCGTGAGATGTTGGCCTGCCTTTCTTTTTTGTTTGTTTTCTTATAATTTCTGAGTTAGTAAAATTAGTAAAGTTAATACATCCAGTTTTTAAAAGTAGTACAGAACACTTTGCATTTTGTATCCCTGAAAAAAAAGTTGTGGGTTTTTTTTTTTAATTTAGAAATACTGTCAAATTTTAGCTTGTTTTTCCTTTCATGGGGCCGTTGAGGGAGATGATCACAACATATTGGGTTGGGGCCACGAATAATGATTGTTCTTCATGCACTCTTTATAAAACCACAGATGATTGTTTCTTCAAAGATATTCTTCAAACCATTCTTGCCTTCTAGGAACTAGTACAAAGTCCACTGAAGCTGACATAAAATTACCTATCAAAGAGCTTTATCAGATGTTGGGGGTGATGTGGCTTCAGTGGAGGCTTGAGCCTTATTTTCTCCATACCAAATCTCAGGAGTATCAGCAAATGTGGAATTTGTTATAACTGGCAAATTTGCTATACCTGCATATTCCTAACTAATCAGTCCCTAAATTAACGCACAATGTGTATTATTTTAATAGTCTGTGTATATAAATAAATTTTAAGAATCCCACCATAAACTCTGAATGTAGATTATAAAATATAGAGGACATATTTAAATAAATATCCAAACAAATCTGTTAACCCCAAAGGAAGTTATCTATTTCCTTTCAAGCCTTCTTTGAGCAGTGTATAATCATTCTTTTTCTTTCTTCTGGAGAAAATGGTTTATGTCTTTTGTGAATGTATATATAGACATATATATATAAGGGAATATATATGCAGAAATGGTATGTGTGTATATATGTATTCCCCTATATATAAAACTCTAATTTATATATATTATATATATATATTATATATATATAATATTTTAGAGTAAGTTGCATATTGTGCCTGATAAATTCAACATATTTGTAAACAAATAAAATACTTCTACAAATGACAGAAAAATTTAAAGCTTTTCTGTAAGAGTATGTGTTATTTTTCACTTTCTGCTAGATTTATAGTAGAAAATCATTCAAAAAGCTGCAATATTACATAACACTGATTTCCAACCATGATTCAGTTGAAAGCAGCCTAAGATCACTGAGAATTTTCATTGGTGTAGGTGGTAAACCCTACATTGTTGGTGATTTTGATTGTTGGGTGTTTTTGCTATGGAAATCTTAACTAAATGATCTTTGAACAGACTGCAATAGACTGAGTTTTCATTTATTGTGGTATGTATGACCAGTTCGTACAAAGTATCAATGGACGTGATATTCTTGTAACAAATATGGAAAATGAGAATACTCTTGGGCCTACAAACAATATCTTGTTAAATTATTATGGGAAACTCTCCAGAACACTAGTCACTAAAAATACTGATAATTTATCATACCTTTTAGAGGTTTTGGTGTTTTTATTTTGTCTGCAAGTGGGCAAGCCCATGAAAAGTCTACATGTGGCTCTCACTCTTTAAAAAAGTGCTACCTTAAAATTATTGATGGGTTTTTTAAAAGTGGTACACAAATCACTTACATAAATACCCTTCCTGCAGAGTGATATAGCTGCATTTTCCATTTATGGCCTACTAGGGAAGATCACTGTATCTGCAGTTTATCAGCAGACTTTGGTATTGCTATGCAATAATTAAACATGCAGTAGCCGTTGTTGTTGTCTAATAAAATTGTTTCTTCCTTTTTGTATTTTGCAATACTGTATGGTTTTTACTTGAATATATTGGCTAGATTTTTTTTTGACAATCATTTATTAGCTAGAGGTGCTATTTATGTTCCAAAGAGATCTGAGTGAATGACAGCATTCTCTTTCTAGATGCCAAATTCTTTTCTTGACCTGACAAAATTAATTGTTCATAGTGTATATTAACCCTGTAAAAATGCTTATGCATTGCATTTCATTGTATTTAAACACATTTTTGCTCATTAATTTCTATTCCAGACTTGTACTACTGTGTAATATGTCGAGTTTGTCCATATATATTTATGGAAAATTACAATAAAAACTGTGTATAATAAGCAATTGAGGGGGGAGGGGAAGAAAAGAAAAAATAAAATTTCCATGTAAAGTTTCTGAAAGGATGTAAATGCTGTTTTCTTAGACTCCTTAATAGTCTTACACCTTCAGAGTGTGCCAATATTCCTGTGTTATTGATTGATTCATTATTCAAATGTAGCAAAAAATCCCTTATCCTTGCATACAGAAGCAGAACTTCAAGATTTCCTATGTAGAAAAGATACTACCAGTAGCAGAACATGCTACCAGCTACTTGCTATTCCTGATTCCACCATAACTAAGATTTAATATCATACATTACTCAAATACCACCTTTACAATAAGGATTTTTTTCCCCATTACTTGAATTGGGATGTTTTTCTATATTCCATGTACATGCAAAAATCATTCTCCAATCACCAATAATTGTTTTGATACAGAGGAGGAATTTAATCATATGGCTTGAAACGTTGTATGTAGACAACTCTATTTTGTAGCAGCTTTCTAAATGTTAGAAGTTCCTATGTTTTTGTTAATTGATTTAAGTCTACAATTGCTTGCCTCAGTTAAATAGGTATTTATTTACAGAAGGTGATTGGATATTTAAAATTAAGATATGAAGGAGATGTTTGAGACACTATTAGAGATACTGCCTTTGCATACTGTCTAAACACCTTTTACACAGATGCACAGTAAATTACTAGGAAACAAAGGTATAACAGATGAGCTATTGAATAAGAAAGAAATAACTTCATCAGAGCAAATGGTTGTTATTTTCATATTTCTAGTAACTGTAAAATCTATTTTCAAAGAATTATGTCTATATCCTCTTGACATGAAAGTTTTGATTCAGCTACCAGAATATACTTAGATTTTGTTTAAATTACTCTTGTAATATATGCATATCTGTGTATTTTAATATTCATAAAAATACAATTTCAGGCATTGGCTGGGGGGAAAAAAAAAAGTTAAAAATACGTAATGGTAAAATTGTCCGTTTGGCACAACAAACCAAGGTATGATGTTGAACCCTGCTCAAAGACATTGATGATATCATTTTCATGCCTAAGAATATGTTGCCTCACAGAATCTGATCGCATGACTAAAATACATTGTTAGGAAATAAATACTGAATTCAGAAAAATCATTCCTCTTCCTGAAGTTTTTTATTTTGATAGTCTAGTGGCAAGACGGGTGGAGACTTCAGTCTGTAGTTTGTCTCTAAAATCAGCTGTTACTGTTTTCCCACATACAGTATTTTATTCTACTAATGAGCCCTTTTAGCTCTGCAGGTTATCCCGAGTTCAGTAAACAGGTTACATTTGCCACTGCAGCTCAGCATTAATAACTTCAACAGTTTTATTTCTCTGACCAGGAGTTAAAAGCATTACCATTCAATAAAGTTCTTGATCCATAACATGCAGTCAACCCTTAACTTGTGTGGGATCTGCGCTCCAACTGGTTCCCTGTAAGTCTATGGGACCTGATGGGTTTAATCTGAGAATACTCAAAGAGCTGGCTGAAGTCATCATGAAACCTCTGTCAATAATTTTCGAACCGTCTTGGGAATATGAAGAGGACCCAGTTGACTGGAAGCTGGCAAACGACTGCATTTGCCATAACATATTATGCTTTTCTTTCATCTTCTTATACTGAGATAAGACAGTGCCCTAGAGATCAGGGATGCTGAGTGTATTTTTTTTAAATATAGAAGTCTGAATCATAAGTCAAAGAAAATTAAATGCTATACATAGTGCATTAACAAGAGACACATAATTGCTGATTGTCATTCACTGGTCAAAAAAGTAGTTCAGTTTTCATTGGATGACTTCTAATTACCAGTGCCTGGTGACACCAAGATGTAAGTCTATCCCATAACATAACAAATATTTGGTTAAAATGTATCCACTCTGTTGAACAACTGTTTTTTCTCATAGAAACTTCCTACAGGATCCTACTGTATAATGTAATGATGTTCTACCTCAAGACTCATATATGAAAATATGATTCTGTTCTTTCTTTACTAGCATGAGACCTCCATCTTGCTGTCTTTTCTGTACAAAGGAACTCTTGACCTAATCTGTGGTTCCACTATTTTTTCTCACAAAATATAAAAAAAGATCATACACCTGTACGAAATACAAAACCACTGAGACAGATTGATATTTTAAGGACATTTTACCCACTTTTTGTCCTTTAGCACAGATGGATCTTAAAACATCTGGAACTGTGCTGTCTTAAATTCAGTTTAAAATTTTAGAATTGCAGATTTCACGTATTATTTGCAAATTACCTCAAATCAATATTTCAAATTAGTATATCAGAATGAAAAGTAATTTTTCAAAACTAATATTAATCCTAGATGATTTTCTTTTTTAGGATTTTGTCAAAATTTGGAGTAATGGGCCTGGAAGGTAATTACTTCCCCTCTTTCATATGTTCTTCTCCTCCTAACTTTTTCACTTATACTGATCATACAAAAAGTACATATCAAGTATAATAATATATTTTAGCTACTAGATATGGATCTTCTAAAAAAATACACCTAAACAACAACAGAAAAGGTAAAAAAAGAATTATTTTCCAACCATTTGGAAAAACAAAACCCCTCAGACCTTACGTGATAAAAAACATCTCTGAGAAATTTCTTGGAAATGGCAAAGTCTCCATAAAGAAAATATTAATCCAAATGCTTGCCTGGAGGAGATATTGCTCAGCATTTGTAGATATCATCCTAAAATGTTGCACATATTATTTCAATTAAAGAGAGAAATAGATGTTAATATCTGGAAATTGTCAATTTTAATTTGAGTGCTTTTAAGCAGTAGAATCTATGCAAGTGTTTCTTTTGTTTCGTAAAAAAAATGCTGAAAAACTATGAATTTTCTTTCTTTTAATATGTCTCTCTTTTTTTCTGAATTTAATTATATTTTTTTCTGCTGGAAATTGTGTAACCCTTAAAGGTTTCTTTTAAAATAAGTTTAAAAGTAACACTAAAAGAAAACATTTGTTTTATATGATCTCATTCAGATATCCCTAACTTGTTTGTGCTTGTATTTTCCACAAAATAAATGTTTTCAGAAATGGTCCTCTAGAACCCTAAAGCTGTATCTAGGTACCAAAAGAAATGGCAACATTTTCTGAAATATCACAGATGTATCAGTTTTCACTGACAAAGAGTTTATGTTGGAAGAGCAATGATTCATTTTGCCAACCATCATTATATACTTTGATTAATAACTGCAATTCCAGTTTGGCCTGAATGATAAATGAGTAACAGTTAGGCACTATAATTATTCAGTTCAATCACTGAACTGAATAATTGGGGGGAAATGGTTGAGGTTGAAATAAAGGGGTTTTTTTCCCTTCACAGAAAAAGTGCTTATTTGCTTTAATTAAAAAACAAAGTTTTTTGATTTCATTTTGGACCTTCTAAATGGAAATAAAGACAGAATTGGATAAGATTTATAAAACAACGGGATTTGGCAATGATCACATGATTCATCAGACTTAGTGACAGATTCTGTTCTTTCTTCTACCTGGCATGAATGAACCCATGATTCCCTCTTCTAAAGCTGCTGGAGATTCAGGACAGAGTTGCTATCCTGCTGATGATTTTTATTGCTGCAGAGATTACCAATCCTTTGTTCCAATTCTCATGCTGACACTCTACCACCTGGACTATACGTCTCTGAACAGCAAATACTCGATGCAAATTGAAGGAACAACAATTAAAGAAATTTCTAATACCTGCACACCAGAAAAATCCTATGGAATTGTGTTTGGGGTATATCACCACAAATGCATTGGTTTGAAAAGATACAATACTCATGGCTTTTGAAAGACTGAAAAAAAAAGTATATTAGCATTAATAATCTCCAATTTCTTTTTATTCATGTCCATTTTACTAATGTCCAGTGCAAATAAAAAGGTTTTTTTTGGGTATTA